CGACAACTAGCATGCCAATTTTACCAAATTTTTTTTATTTACATTCTACAAGTTTATAGGATTAAAATAAAAAAAAATTATCGAATTTGGCCCAGTAGTCGTTGAGCTAAAAGCACATATGTGCCCATATGATATACATAAAACGTGACCAAATATGTACATATTTGCACATCACATTTTCCCGGCCACTCTACACTAGTTATAACCCATTTTTTATTGTGTACTGGTTGTTGCCAGATATAAGGATTAGGTTGTGTAAGGAGAAGTGAGGGGGATGCGGCAGCATGCAGGGTGTCTGTAATGATGGTAAACTATTTCAGGGTTCTTCCCCAAGATATTTTGGTGATATTGTGGTGGAATTGTGATTCCAGTCTAGTAACTCATTATTGTTGTGGTTGGTAAATTATTCAATGTCACAGATTGCATGTTGGTTGAGTTGTTTTTTAATCAGGGCATGGTTGGATCCAGTGATTAATAGTGTGACCCGGAGACTCGATTGGGGTTTGCTGTTCGGATAAATTGGATATTTAAAGTGTGTAGGTTCCAGAATTCGTTTTTATAGAGTTATTTTTTGTAGGTCAATAGATAGTGCAAAATTAATTCGGAAATTAAAGTTATTACACTCTTAAATAAATCTAGTAATGCTCATTAGATAGGCATAGATACACACATACTTTATTCTTTATAAATTACCATCTCTAAATATTGCAATATAATTTTGATTTAAAAAAAAATTATACAACAATAGAACGCCTGCTATACTATTGTCCACTGGGAAGCTATAGTAAAGCGTGTACTCAATCCTGAAAAGTTAAAAAGCCTATTACCACTATATTACAATATTACATTATTTATAATACAAATAGTAGATATTAAGTCCCAACAAAAATATTTTATCATAGGTAACTGATAGAATAGAATAAATCATTATCATAGATTTGCACAAGCCACCTTGTCTATTTCTTTTAAAGACCAAAATCTTTCTCAAATTCTTTGAGCGTCATTAGTTCAACCTAATGAGATTAAAGAATATATATGGCATGAAAAAAAATTGAAATCGCTAAAGGTACTATTATAAATATATAAAATTTAATATTAAAAACTAGTAAAAAAAAACAAATGTATACTCCTTCAATTGGAAGATCTTGATTTAGATCCTCGCTTTCATCATAAAGTACAATAAAATGTCGATATTTCTTCCATTGTTGTGAATGAACTCTCATCATAGTTCTATGTAAGCTTAAGAGGAATGATGGAGGCGAATCTGTCGTCTAAATAAAAAAAGTAAGTGTCATTTTTTTACCAAGAAAGTGAATTGAGAAAAAGCCAAGTTGTAGATATTCTTACATTGTTATATTTAAAAATTTCATCAGGGTTGAAATATCGAATCTTTTTCATATTAATTTTTGCAATTAGTGAATAATATGCAAGACGCGCATTATGACTAATTATACAAAATAAGAAATAAGTAGTATAGATTCCTAAACAAATAAATAAAATATCGCGCGCCCAAACCTTACCTATTAACGCTTCTCAATCTACAGCATCGGTCTAATGCATCAAGTACATTTTTGCTTAATAAGAATTCCCAGAACGCGTCCTTATAAAGTTGTTTTTGCTATATTACATGAACGAGTATGTATCATTAAAAAATTTTAGTCACAAAAATATCTATAATACGTATTTTCGAATACTTACATGATTCATCACAGTAAGAATACGAAATATAACATTTTCACCTCTGGCAAAGAGTGGTGCTGTAGCTGTTACAAAGCCACCTAAAATTTTGAGAATAATTTATTAATAACATGATAAAAAGATAATTGCTAATAAAAAAATGTAAGAAAATTTATATTTAACCTTGCTTGAAAAATTCTTCTAAATTCCAAGATTTAATATTATTTGGATTAGTTCCAAACCCAAAAAACTTACAATTTGGAAGCCGTTTGAGTTTCATTAAATTAGGGATCCAATATATTTGTTTCTCAAAAAGATAATGAATCTAAAAAAAATTTTTTAGAAGATAATTTTTAAGATAATTTTTAAGATAATTTTTAAGATAATTTTTAAGATAATTTTTAAGATAATTTTTAAGAT